TAATGACTAATAAAACAAAAAACTATAGGTTTTTGCTATTTTGTTTTTACTTTCAATCTTACATTTCCTTCGAACTGGATTCATTTTATTTTAGTTTTCTCAACAATTTCAAACGCAAATCAACAAATATTGACAAATTTACCTTCGAATATTTTTAATAATTTATTGATTTTTTTTTTTGATTTCCATTTTAAGAGAAATAAAATAAATATGAATTTGATTTCAAAAAATAAAGAATCAAATTTTATTCGACATTTTGGCTTTATTTACATAAAATGATAATTTATTTTTATTCAGATTTATTCTCATTTTATTTTTGTCTTTTTCAATTTGACATTAAACATAAGTCGCTTTGTTATTTCATGTCCAGTGGCGTGTTAATTGTCGTCCAATGAAATGCCTGATATTTCTATGACGTCATCCTACAACTTGGTTTTTAGTATCTACACGCGGGAAGGGCGTAGCCATAGTCAGTTTATTTCAGGCAATTCAACAAAGAAGACGACGTTTGCTGTTTGGTTTGGGTCCCACGAGTTTTGAAAAAAAAAAAAAAACAGTTCTACTCAATCGAAATCAATTGTAAGTATGAGTTTTATCATTTTCAAATCATCCAAATTTCTTAAATGTTTCCATGAAAAGAAAGAGACATTTCCTTCCTCTTTAATCTTGAAACCATTTCACCCAAAGTAAGGCAAGAAAGCCACACCGAACTCGTATATTCTCAATATGGAAAAAATCGTATTTTGCTCCCTAACTTCTTATTTACTGGTTTCACTGCAAATTGCGTGGCGGAGTCAAAATCACAATTATTTATCATCTCTTTAATTTATAGATATTCTTTCTTTCTTTCTTTCTATCTATCTCAGAACTATTCATATCTATCTCTTTATCTCACCCTCTCTCTCACTCTTGTGAAAGAAAATCTTTTTGTCCCAAAATTAAATGAATAACAATTAAATGATATTGGTTTCTTTGTCTGTCTGTCTATATTTCAGTTCTTTTCATATCTATCTATCTATCTATTAGTCCTTTTCAGATCTATCTCTCTATCAGTCTTTTTCATATTATTTACCTATATGTATATATATATGTGTGTGTGTATATATATATATATATATATATATATATATATATATATATATATATATATGACTATCCATACCCTATTTCTTCATTAAGTATCTATCTTTTTCTGACTTTTCATTATCTATCTATCTATCTATCTATCTATCTATCTGACACTCGCCGATGATATCCGGGTGTAATATGTGTGAGTGCATAACAGTATATTGCTTATCTAGCTAGCTAGCCAGCTAGCTACCTCGGTCCTTTCGTATCTATCTATCTATCTATCAGTCATTTTCATATATATTTAGCTATATCTATATATATACGTGTGTGTGTGTTTGTGCATAAATATATATATATATATATATATATATATATATATATATATCCATACCCTTTCCGTTCATTATGTATCTATTTTTTTCTGACTTTTCATTGTCTATTTATCTATATCATTATTTATCTATCTCACTGACACTTGCCGATGATATCCGGGTCTAATATGTGAGCGTGCGTAACAGTGTGTGTGTCTATCAATACATGTGTGTGTGTGTGTGTGTTTTACCGCCTTTCTTTCATTTTTTCCTCCTTTCCTCCCATTCTCTTTTTCTCTCCATACTTTTCCCTCCCTTGTTATTTCATGTAACGCCCTCTCTGCCGGTAATGTGACTATTCTCGTCCAATGAAATGCCTTAAACGCCTATGATGTCACAGTGCGTTTGCTTTCCTCCCCTTCAGTTACTCAATCCGTGCTTACCCCTCCCTTCTTATCTCATGTAACGCCCTCCTTTCCAGTGGTGTAACTATTCTCGTCCAATGAAATGCCTTAAACTCGTATGACAGCTTTATTGATTACTACTCTCTCTGTTCCCTACTCTCTGATAATTTTTTCGTCCCCACCCCTAAATCTTCTCCCCCCACCCACTTTATTGATTTGGGATTTTAGAAGAAAATTTCCTTTCCGGATATCGATTAGTTTTTCTTGTAAAATCACGAAATTTCGGGTCATTTTTACTTCCGGTTTTATAAATGGACTTTTTTCGGCTTTTTCTGATTTTTAACTTTGACCTTTTTTTTCTTTTCTTTCTTTACAGATTGATTTTTATCTTTGGGAGAAATTTTCAAAATGGCGTCCAATGTGAGTGAAGTAGAGACATTCCCATGCTCGAAATGCGACCGAATGTTGGACTTGTCATCAAAGACATTACCATGTCTTCATTCCTTCTGCCGGTCGTGTATTGAGATGATTCTAGAAGAAAATAGCCCGTGTCCCCAGTGCCAAGGACCTGTGACCGGTGACGATTTGAGACTGTCACCATTTCTGGAGAAGTCTTTGAGGCGCCGTCAGCTGCAATCCACCGAATGGCGGTGCGACAGGTGCTTTGAAGAGAACGGGAGAGAATCGACCGTCCAGATTTGGTGCCAGGAATGCGAGAAAATCTTGTGCCAGTCCTGCAAGAGATTCCACTCCGGACACGTGACCAAAGACTTTTCGAGCATGACGCGGGTGGAGGCCATCAGGGTCATCACGACGGACGACTGTCGACGGCACCGTCAATCCAAGGACGCTTTCTGCCAACACGTGCCGGTGCAAAATATGTTACCAGGAACACGTGATCACCTCCCCTCAGTGTCCGCCTCGTCCGCTGTCGGTGAGGAAGGAAGCGTCGAAAGAGAAGATACGCAGCCCCACCCTGGAGCGGGAACTCCGCCAGTTCGAAATCAACATCCGGGAGACGTACGCGCAGATGTCGCGATCCATTGAGCAATTGTCAACGGATTGCGAATCGGAATGCTCCAAACTCGTTCTGGATTTCGAGACCTTCGTGGAAGAAGCACGGCTCAAGTTAGCAGCGTTGTGCGATAATATGAAAGTGATGGCGTACGAACTGCAGACAAAATGGCAGAACTCCCTCAAGGAGAAAGAAAACCTTTTAAAGAAGGTGGAAATCTGGCACCACACATTGGTACATTTGTCGACGGATGACGCTGACGATGAGGACGTCGTTTGTGGACTAAGGTTGGTGGGAGCGGAGCTTTCTGCGCGGCTCCGCCAATCATTTGCTCCTCAAGAGAAAGGACGTTGGCTGGTGACATTTCCGAAATGGTGTCACGACTCCCTAGAGTCACTGAAGAAAGAAATAATCGTGTGGGAAGCAGAGACATCCGGGCATTTGCAGATGGAAAGTGAATGTCGTCTGCAAGGATCGAACCCGATGGATATTTCATCGATTGTCACCGGCGACAATCGCGTCTTTGTTGGCGATTTTCAAAGCAGATCCATCCTAGAATTCAGTGACTCTGGGGAAATGGTCGGCCAATGTTCCTTAACGGACGGAGGAGAGGATTTCTACCCCCTGGATATGTGTCGCCTTTCTGAAGACATTTTGGTTGTCTGTTGTCCTTGGGGGTCAGGAAGAATTTTCTTTTTGGCACAAAAAAAATATCCGCCATTATTACAAATCCAAAAATCAATTGACACAAAAGACAAGAAATTTTGTTCTTTGTGTCAAATTGACAAAAAAATTTTTGCTTGTGAAATGGATTTTCAAAATATTGTTTGTTTTAATGAAAATGGACAAGAAACACAAACAATATACCCTGGGGGGTCGTTGGGGGAGAGTGATAATGTCCCCCGCCTTCGTGCTGATCCCACGACTGGGAATTTGTGGGGGTCAAGACTAACAGTTTCCGAAATATTTGTCTGGAATCAAAAGGGTGAAATTCTTCAAAAGTTTGAAATGGCTGAAGAATTTTCCGATTTTTGTTCAAATAAATTTGGCCATTTTTATTTTTCGACGGATCAAGCAATTTTTTCTGTTTTACCAGAAAAAGTTTTGTTTAAATTCCCGAAAAAATCTGAAGATTGGCCGATGATTTTTGTTTCCAGCCGAAAATTGTTTGTTTATTTTAAAAACGATGGAAATGATTTAGTAAAAATTTTCAAAATTATTTAAAAAAAAAAAGTTTTTTTCTTTGCAAATAAAATTTATTGTTTTAAATTCATTTTTTGAAATTTTTCTTCAATTCAAGTTTTTTTCATTTTTTGCCAAATTTGTCTCCGACCATCAATGGTTGACAGAAGTTGTGAAAAAGAAATTGATTTCATTTGAAAATGTCAATAAAAATAGCAAATTAATCGATAATTAGTGATGGATTTTTTTTTTATTTTATGCCAATAAAATTAAATTTGTCACACTTAAGAGTTGAATTTTTCGTCGTATAACAATATGAGTTCATTCAAATAATTGTAGATTTTTTATTTCTCTTCTTCTTTCTTTCGTTGCTTTCTTTTTCTCAGTTTCGTTGTTTCTTTTCTTTTTTTTTCCCTTTTTTTTCTCTTTTCCTTCTTTTCTTTTTTGGTATTTTTCTCTCTTATATATTCTTATCTTCATTTTGTATTTTTTTTATTTTATTTTTGTCTTTATTCTCTTTTTCTTTATCTCTCTTTGTCTCCCCACCCTTTCTCTCTTTCTTTATCTCTCTTTGTCTCCCCACCCTTTCTCTTTTTCTTTATCTCTCTTTGTCTCCCCACCCTTTCTCTCTTTCTTTGTTTCTCTTCTTTTTTTGTCTCATTTTTTTCGCTCTTGTCATCTTATTTTCCTGGTTTCTCTATTCTTTTTCCCTTTTCTTTTTTCTTACTTTCTTTCTTTTTCTTTGTCTCCCTTTTTTTTTTTTATTCTTTGTTCCTATGTTTCTTTCTTTTTAATTTGCGACTTTCTCTTTTTTTCTCTCTTAAATTTTTCTTCTTTTCTTTGTTTCTTTTTCACGCATCAAAACAAGGAATGTGTTTTTTCTTTTTCTTCGTGGATGTCGGGGAGGAGCGTGAATTTTATGAAATGTGCATTTTAAATCCAGGTCACGTCTGCGTTACGTTCATTGGTAAAGGCATGAACCTATCTCGTCCCTGCATCAGTAAAGCAGCAGAATAATCGAAACTATTTAAAGTTAAATGGAAAACAATTCCGAAAAGGTAATGGCCAAATCCACCCTCTCTCTCTTTCATACGCCCTTTCCTTCTTTCTCTTCTTCCCTCTTCCCTTCAATACATTTCCTCTCTTATGATTTCATGAAATCTCATCATCTACATATCAGTAATTCTGTTTAGCTATTTAAAAGAAAAGGGGAGAATTTCTAACATCTCAATCCGTCTTTCATACAACCATTCCTTCTATCAATTAGTCCCATTCCATAAGTTCTCTCCATTATTATCTCATTATTTCTAAATATCAATCTATCTATCTTTCTATCAATCACTCTATCTTGCTATTTAAAAGAAAACGGCATAATTTATACCCTCTCTCTCTCTCTTTCGTACAACGTTTCATTCTCTCTCTTCTTCCCCTTACATAAATTCCATCCATTAATATCTCATTAATTCTATCTATCAGTCTATCTATCTTTCTATCTATCAATAAATCAATCTTGCTATTTGAAAAAAAAAGGGAGAATTTCTACCCTCTCTCTCTCTCTCTCTATCTTTCTTATAAACTTTCCTTCTCTCTTAGTCCCTTCCATAAATTCCCTCAATTATTATCTCATTAATTCTATCTATCAGTCTATCTTTCTATCTATCAATCACACTATCTTGCTATTTAAAAGAAAAAGGGAACATTTCTACCCTCCTCTTTCTCTCTCTTTCATACAACATTTCCTTCTTCCCCTTCTATAAATTCCCTTTCATTAATTCTATCTATCAGTCTATCTAACTTTCTATCTATCAATAAGTCAGTCTTGCTATTTGAAAGCTATCTAACGGCCTCTCTTGTCTATCTCTCTATTTCTCTCTCCGTTCATATATCAAACTGTCTTTCTGTCTGAATATCTATCTCTTTTCTCCCACTATATATATATATATATATATATATATATATATATATATATATATATAGTATATGTGTTTGTCTGTTCTATCTAATCACAAATGCTATCTGCGTATCTATTTATCACCTGTGTGTGTCTGTCTTTGTCTATATATCTCTCTGTCTGTCTATGTATCTCTGTCTGTGTTTGTCTCACTGTGTTTTTTCTTCTATCTTTCTCTTTTTCCATCCATCAAACTCAACATCTATCTATCTCTGTGTCTTTCTACCGAAAATTGCTATCAATCAATCTATCTCTGAACTATTCTGTCTCCCACTCTCTCGCTATCTATCTATATATCTATCTGTGTGTCTTGACTGTCCATCTAACATTCCGTCTTTCTGTCTCTATCTATCTATCTATCTATCTATCTATCTAGTCCAACTTATTTCACTTTTGATTTTGGCGTTAACTATTTATAAATAATTTTATCGTAGAATAAATCGAAAGAAATGAACAACAATAATAATAATAACGTTGTTACGATCATTATTATTATTATTATTGTTGTTGTTTTTGTTGTAGTTTCCCGCTGGATTTGTTCTTCCCTTTTATTTAAAGCCATAAACATTTACGAAATCTTTCAAATCTTTCAGTTAATTTGTTTGAACAGAATAAAAACTAAACGGCGTTGAGTTTTAAAACAAAAATTTCTGTTCACTTTTATCAAGTGGCACCAAACCCGTGTAATGTCCATCAGTTCTGCTACGATGATTATTATTACCATTGTTTATCTCCGGATTTCTTTTTCAACCATTTGCGAAGACTTTCAAATATTTCTCCAGATTACTTTAAAAGCAATAAAAAATGAAATAGTTTTATTTTTTTTTAAATAAATGCAAAAATTTGAATCTGGAAGCTGAATAATCCATTTGGACCTTTGAAAAAAAAAATCACAGTCCCACACACATGCTATGTAATGGCATCAAAAGTCAACAAATTTCGGACGACGTAATTTCCTGAGGGCAGTAAAGTGAAACCGTGACCACCGATATAGAAGGCCTGCTCGATAGTGACGTCACGTCACAAATGTCGTCCATGCAGTGAAACAGACAGTAATCATAATGTAACGAAAAGAAAAAAATTGATTTTAGAAAACTTTTTAAAAATACATTTATAAAAGAAAGAAAGAGAATTGTATTTTATACAGAAATTTATTTCATATTAATTTTAAAAAAATAACCGATAAGAAAAAAATGTTGTTGCTGAATGTTTTGTTATAGTAAAGAAATTAAACATCATGTTACATTTCATTAAATTTTAAAGACTGAATTCGTTCATTATTTTATTTGTTTCAAATTTGAAAACATGTTTAAAATCATAATCAGTATTGTTTTAATTTGCATGATTTTATCTTAATTTTAGTAATTATTCTGTAAAGTTACAATATTGTAACTATTAATGATTATTATTCTTACACTATACACAGCAACAACTCAATTATGAATTAGGAAACAAACAGACGAGCAAATTACAAGTAAATGATAAATAAGAAACAAATAAACTAAATACAAGAAAGTAAATAAATTTGATACAAAAAAAGAGATTTAAAATTCAAATAATACTTATAGAAAAGTAGGTTACAGACAGACAGTTTTAAGACTGAAATTCGTTCATGATTTTAATTGTTTCACATTTGAACATTTTTTATAAATCATAATCAGCATTGTTTTAATTTGCATGTTTTTATTTCAATTTTAATAATTATTCTGTAAAGTTACAATTTTTGTAATCATTAAGAAGAGATTATTACTCAAATACAGTAAGAACTGAATTATGAATTAGGAAACAAACAATAATTAAATAAACAAATTATAATTAAATGATAAATGAATAATTATGATGAATAAATAAAACAATTAAGCATAAATAAGAAATAAATAAATACAAACAAGCAAATAAATTCGATACAAACAATAAATAGATTTAAAAATCAAATAATACTTTCAGAAAAATAGGTTATTGATACAAATTTAGCTGAATGTTTGAAGTTTTTTTTTTGCTTAACTTGTTATTTGTAATATTATTTTTTCCTAGAACAAAAATTATTAAAAAAAGAGCATTTGTAGAGCTCCAGACAAACATTCTTTGTATTTTTTCTATATTGTGACCCTCATCACAAGTGTTAACATCAAAAAGAAGCTCATAATCTGCCAAAACATTCAATGTTATATGCATGGCTATTTTTCTTCGATTTACTGAATGAAGAAAAGAAGTGAAGTTTATCAATGACTTTCTTAATTATAGAGAACAAACTTTATAGTTTTATCATTAGGATATAAGAGAGAACCTCTTAATTCCCCGAAAATAGCTGCTTATTTCAGGTATTTCTTCCACATTATCTCTTACAAAATCCAGATATTAAATCTTTGCAACTATTGCATTTAATTTTCTTAAAAACTGCATTACAGCAATAACCCTGCTAAGTATAGCATTACAGGTAGAACTTCTCAACAATTATTAACATCATTCTCTTTAACATCAATTTATATATTTATATATATATACATATTTTCCTCCTCTGTCACTTCATCCCAGTTTGGTTCTTGTAAACTCTTTAAATCAATTTTAATGCATTGCTGATTAAATGGTAAGCTCAATTTTAAAGCTGATTGCATTCTAATTTTTTTTTTTTTCAAATATTTGACGTATCGAGATATTATACTGATCCCACTAAGTTGTCGGTATTGACCAAACCTTGCTTCAAGGTGATCAGTTTGAAATTTGCCTGGTAATATGTACAGCATTTTCAGTTCTTCTATGCAATAATTGGTCAGTTCTAGAAATGCATAGGTTGTATGATGCAAAGCAGTGAAGGTTTCCTTTGTTAATTTGCCATTTCTTCCAGAAATGCTATTCCAAGATTCTAACCAGTCACAGAATACAGAGAGAAATCTAAAATTTTCTTCCTTCATTCTAAGTGGATTATTTCTAAGCCGACAACCTTTATATGGCGTTTTAACATTCATTATTGTCCACCAAATATAAAATATGTTTATATATTCTGCAACTTCTGCAAAATTAGGCAAATATGTCTGTTTTCCTAAAAGTCAATAATCCTTGAATAGTGTATTCATTAAAAATTTGCAGAACTAAATTAACATTTTGCCTTTCAAAATTAGTAGGAGAAAGTGCCTTTGAGATTAATTTATAACAATATTTCAAAATTGACTGAGATTCTAAGGCATGAAGTTTCTGTAAGGTAGAAAATGGGGCACTTTGGATATTATCTAATTCATGATTTCCATTATGACAAAATTTGGGGAACAGCATGCATTTATTTGCATCTTTTGACCAAGCCAATTGTTTCTAATGCATTTTAATATATGGACTGAGTCAAAAAGGAAGAAAAGGGGTCGAGACTTTATAACTGAGTGTGGATATACAATGGAAAGCTTTGGAGGACTGCAAAAGAAAGATATAGCTTTTTTATTTATAGCATTATTATCTGTTATGATTGATAATACTTGAAAGCCTATCTCCTCTAAACCAATTATTATGCATTTAACTATGTCAAATAACTTCTCAGCTTTAAGACATTTAGTTGGCATAACATGCACAACATCTTTATATTGTGAGAATACACTGCAAATCATGAAAGCAAAAGCACTTGTTGCAGCTTCACTGCTGTTGTCAGATAAGCCAACAATATTCGCACCCTTATAATCTAAATAAGGTTTTAGATGAATTTCATCAACAAGTAAAGATACTGTGATGTACTTCTGCACTAGGAGCTTAAATTTATTTTTAATATACATAAGAAAATTGTTATCATGTTGCTCAATCAAAGGATTCATATATGTTGATAATGTTAGTCTTTTAATGATTGAATATCTAGGTAAAATTATATTTTTGCTGTCTCTTAACAATCTGTACCCTTTAGGGGAGCAGTTATATAACAATGAAGAAAATATCATCATTTCTGTTGAATAATCAAGCTTATTTTGTGTCATTAAATTTAGCTGCTCATATATAAATTTAATTGCATTAAAATGTTTGTTTGATTCTTCTTGCACCAATAGTAGAAATGACATTACCAATTTTAATATAAAAATCATATTTTGTGGTT